TCAGCAATAAAAAACAAAAAATAATCCCATTAAAAAGTGGGCAAAGGACATAAATAAACATTTCTAAAAAGAAGGCATACAAATGGTCAATTGGTATGTTAAAAAATGCTCAATTTCACTAATCATCAGAGAAATGCAAATTAAAACCACAATTAGATATTCTCTCACCCCAGTTAGAATGGCTATTACTAAAAAGACAAAAAAATAACAGAAGCTGATGAGGCTGTCGAGAAAAGGGAATTCTTATACACTGTTGTTAAGAATGTAAATTTGTACAACCTCCTTGGAAAACAGTTTGGGCATTTCTCAAAATACTACAAATGGAACTACCATACAAGCCACCATTTGCACTACTGGGTATATATTCACAGAAAAGGAATCAGAATATCTAAAGGATAATTGCATTGCATGTTTATTGCAGCATTATTCACAATAGCAAAGATATGGAATCAACCTAAGTGTCCATCAATAGATGAATGGATAAAGAAAATGTGATATAATATACACAATGGAATACTATTTGACCATAAAAAATGTGGTATATATACAAAAAGGAATACTATACATCCATAAGAATAAAATCATGTCATTTTATTCATGTCATTTATTCAGCAAGGTAGATGGAACTGGAAGTTATTGTGTTAAGTGAAATAAGTCAGGTACAGAAAGACACACAGTGCATATTCTCACTGATATGTGAGAGCTAAAAAAGTTGATCTCATGGAAGTAGGAAGAAGAATGATAGCTATCAGAGAAGTAGGTGGGTGATGGTGCACAGGAGGAAACAATGAAGAGAGTTTGTTTAATGGGTAGAAACATACAGTTAGATAGAAGGTATAAGTTCTAAGGTTCAATAGCATATAGGGTGATTAAAATGAACAAAAGTATTATGTATTTCAAGAGATAGCTAAAAGAGAGGACTTAAAATGTTCCCAATACATAGAAATCATAAACACTTGGGGCAATGGATAATAGAAATATCCTAACTTGATCATTACACATTCTATGCATATAACAAAACATCACATGTACCCCATAAGTATGTACAAATACATATCAATAAAACAAAGAGAATGAAAAGACAATCTAAAGACTGGTAATGTTTACTAATCACATATTAAAAAGTTGTATCCAGAACATACGAACAACTTTTAAAACTCAACAATAAGAACACAAACAAAAAAAAGGGGGCAAAATTCTAGACTTTACCAAGAAAGATGTATATATGGTATATAATTCACCATTAGGAAAATGCAAATTAAAACATAGAAACAAAAATCTGTGACAATGAGAAGAAAAGTCAACAAACCTGTCAATATTAATTGCTGATAAAGATGACAAACTAAGAGAACCCTCATACATTATTGGTGGTAGTGAAAAATAATACAGGTACCTTGAAAAGTGGTTTTCTAGTTCTTACGAAGTTACCGTAGACATACCATATTACCCAGCAGTCCTCCTCCTAGATATCAACCCAGGACAAACGAAAATAAATATCCACATAAAAACCTGTTGATGAATGTTTTCAAAGACTGTATTCATAATCACCCAACCCTGGAAACAACACAAATATCTAAAATGTGGCAAATGGATAAGTAAAATGTAGTTTATTCAACAGAATAAAATTCAGCAATGAAACGAAACCTACTAACATATGTTTAAAAACTAACTGAAAATAGATCATTAATTTAAATGTGAAATATAAAACAAAACTTTTAGAAGAATGCATAGGAGAAAACCTTCATAAACTACGGCTGGCTAGGGAAAGAGTTCTTTGACATGACACTAAATGCACAGTTTATAAAAGAAAAAAAATTATGAACAGGACTTCATCAGAATTAAAAATGTTTGCTCTACGAAAGATCTGTTAAGAGGGTGAAAGACAAGCTACAGACTGAGAGAAAATATTCACAAAGAATATATTCAATAGAGACTTGTATCTAGAAAATATAAAGATCAAAGCTCAAGAGTTTTAAAAAATCCATTTAGAAAATGGACAAAAAATATGAATAGGTATTTTACCAGCGACAAGGTACAGATGGCAAATAAGCACATGAAAAGATGTATGGTCAACATCACTAGTGAGATATCACTATTTACCTAATAAAATGGGTAAAACTGAAACATAGTAATAATACCAAATGCTGAGGAGGATGTAGAGAAAGTGGGTCTTTCGTACATGACTGGTGGGAATATAAAATGGTGCAGCCACTCTGGAAAACAGTTTGGTATTATCTTATAAAGTTAGAAATGCATTTACCATATGACCCAGCAATCACATTCTTGGGCATTTAACCTAGAGATATGAAAACTTACATTCATATAAAAACTTATACATGAATATACACAGTAAATTTATTTCTAATAATCAAAAACTGGAATCAATCCAAATGCCCTACAATGAGTTAAACAACGGTTAAACAAAATGGCATATCTAGACAATAGAATATTACTCATCGGCAATAAACACGAATGAACTACTGATATTTACAAAAACTTGGATGGATATCAAAGGCATTATGCTTATTGAAGAAAGCCAATCTCAAAAAGTTACATACCTTATGATTCCATTTCTATAACATCTACAAAATGACAAAAGGGATGGAGAACAGATTAGTGATTGCCAGGAGACAGAGATGAAGCTGGCAGTTGGGGACATTCCTACAAATGGGTAGCAGAAAGGACTTGCTAGTGGTAGAATACTTCTGTATCTTTGTTTGTGGTCATTGTTGAACAAGACAATACAGAGGATCAAACTGCACAGAACTCCAAACACACACTTACACATACACACACAAATTACTGCATGTGAAACCTAATGAAAATTGGATAATGACCATGTTTTAGTTACCAGTACTGTACCAATAAGAATGTCTTGGTTTTGATGTACTATTAGCCATATAAGATGTTACCATTAGGCTATCGCAAATAATGATCATAATAACTCAACATTAGTGTCCAGAATAATTTTTAATAAAGGCACTATGGCAAAATGTAGGCATTTTTGAAGGGGCCTGAGGTTAGAGGGTGGTGGTAAATAAAAACTAACACATATGAACTAAGAGAATTAGATACAGAACATATTTTCAGAAATCCAGGTAAAATGGGTCAACAAATCAATAAGAGGCAGTAGATAAACTAAAACCCTGTAAAACTGGCAAAGGGAAAAAGTAGTATTTTTAAGAAATGCAAGAATTCTTTACAAGCATATCTTCATTGCCATCTCCAAAAGAGATGACATAACTTTCTTGTGCATAATATGCCTTCCTTTAATTATAACAGTCATCACCATCTTCCTTACCATCTTCATTATCACCATTATTACAGCAAACTAATTCAAACTACTTTCTTCCAGCATGCACTGCTTTAACCCTGCTCATCTTGAGTTTTACCTGACATTTTTCTCACCACTAATATAATTTTATGAGATTTTCCCACCATCTATGCCTTATCTGAAGCACTTTTCAATTAGCAGAAAGTTCAATCACCTCCAAGAGTGCATCTTGCCATGTAAACCTGAAATTCTCTAATGAACAGCAGAGTGATCATTATTAGTTCACTGTTTTACATATCATAGCCCAGTTTTGAATAAACTCAAGAATAAAACTGTCTTCCTGTTAAATGGATAAAGTTTAGAACAAATCAGTTTGCTAAGTTGTTCTGAAATATACTATGCATTTGTCATTTTATTTTCTAATATTTCCAGTTTACTCCTCCATTAACCCTTACACCCCTATCCGTACCCAGCATTATTATTCCCATAGTACAGATGAAGAGATTCAGAGAAGTTAAGCAATTTGCCCATGGTAAGAAGGAAAACCTTGAATTTGAATCCAGATAGTTCTATCTCTAGAACCGATCTACTCTTTTAACATCACTATAAGACCTCTAAAATCCAGAAAATCAATCTGAACTCACATACTGCTTGCAAGAATATAAATTAGAACTACAACTTGGGAGATCAAATTTTCACATTAAGGCTGAACATGTACAAAATCTGTCTAGGTGGAAACCCAGCATGTCTATTTAGATGGAAACTGTGACATACATTCCTTGCCCTCACTCCTAAATTGTCCATTATTCTGAGTGTTCTGGATCCTTCCCAACAACATACAAACATGTAGTAAAATCTTCTATAGGGTTGTTTACAACTGTCTCCAATTCCTCTCTTTCCATTCTCTGCTGAAAGTTCTCAACCAGGCTTTCATTTCTAGTTATTGAAACAGCTCTTTGTGAAAGTCACCAATGATCACCACATCGTCAAATGCAGAAGTAAATTCTCAGTTCTCATCTAATCTTACCCATCACCAGATGTGACTATAATTAATTACTCCCATTTAATTTTTTCATTTGCTGTTCAGGAGCTCTCTCTTGTTCCTGATTTTTTACCCATTTTACTAAAAATTACTTTTCAGCCTCATTTGCTACTTTCTCCTCAGCTTCCTGACCCTAAAGTTCTCAGTGCCCATCGCTATCTCACAATTCAATAACAGATACTTCTTTTAGAAGTCGAATTAATTTAGATAGCAGATTTATTTTTTTAATTCTAGGATTCAAAATTCCCTAACAATGTCTAACGCAGATTCCTTCTAAAACATTAATATGGATAAACCTCTCATAAAATATTAGTAATGCAATGCCATAAAGGCAGAATACAGAAACAGACGGATCATTACCCTAATCCAGTCTGATATTCCAAGCAGAAAACATAAGGTAAAGGCACCAGCCTTGATTCAAAACACTTATTAGTTTTATTATTAAATGTATGACACTGAATAAGAAAAGCATTAAGATTGTTATAGATGCAAAATTACATGATCCTGTGATTTATTTACTGAGTACATACATCTCAGATGCAGTAATAGTTACTGTGAGGAATATAAATAATTGGTACTTATATTCTTATTTTAGATTTCAAATGAATAGAAGGCCACCTAAATATTCCTACACCTTTATTAGGCACAATGAAAATTTCCTGAAAAAGCAAATTAAGTATGTACCTTTCAGTGCGGTAGTCTTTTCTTTTTCATCTGGACCTCCCTGCTGGATTTGTGCCATGTTTATCCAAATTGGCAACAAAATTAAAGAGCTCAAGGAAATAGACATCAATCTTCAGAAGACAGTCTAGAATGAATGAAAGCAATAAATTAAGTTCTACTCAAAACCTATCTATTCCATGAGAACTTCCTTGATCCTCCCAGTCAGGATTAATCTCTCTATCCTAATTTCCCACTTTGTTGAGGCCCATACCATAGTACTTATTATTGTCTGCTTTGCGTTATACTTATTTATGAATTTATCTGAGTCAGCTAATGGCATACAAGCCCCAGGAACAGAAATATCAAGTTGTTGTCATCTTTCTCTGATGTCCACCAAACACAATACTTTATACATTACAGTTACCTAATGTTTGCTGAATTTAGCTAAACTTACCATTTAGTTTTAGTTACCTATCACCTAATGTTTTTAAAAAATATCTTTGGGTAGTTCCAAAAACTTAAAATTTCTTTTAAAATAAATTGTAAGCATAGGCCATTTACAAGGTAGAATGTCTTCCTTTTGGAACAAGCAGATAAGAAGAGGCAAATGCATAAATATATAAAGTATCTGCAAATTTCCTATAGTGTAATTAAAAATACAACTTTCAGGGAAAAACTAGGCCTTTTTAAATGAAACGATGTCATCATTGTCTGGAAGCCATACTCTATAAATGGTACTCCAGTAAACAACCATACTATAAAATCATGATTTATTAAAATCTAATTCTGCTCTACTTTGGCCAAAGGGAAAGCATTACGACTGAAAATAGATGGCTTTTTCCAGAGTCCCCATGAACAGGAAAGCTAATCAGTTGTAAAGTTTAAAAGGAAGAAAAGTATATCTCCTACAATACTTAGCATAAGTATCTATTATTTTTCTTCTGTGTATAGGTAACTCAAAACTCTATAAATTCTACATGAATAAAATGTGTCTATATCCCTTCAAGAAATATATCCTAGTATATAAGGTAGGCAATGGACAAGACTCTGGGGGTACTACGATGAGTAAAGCAAATATTGTCACTGCCTTCCTATGGCTTACTTTGTAGCTGACAAATCAAACTGCCAAGCAGCCACAAAGAAAATACATCAGACCTAGACTGATAATCACAATAATGTTAAAACAAATAAATATTTGCAAGGGCTGTATATTTCCATTCAGGAATTAGCCAAGTCCTACATGATGGTGTACAAATTTCACCAACAACTTTTTATTACACATCATCTTGTAGCAGAAATTAAAGAGAAATGTTCTTAATGAGGAATTCCACACCGCACCCTTTGCTAAATATTCCACAACTAAGTTAACTACCTACAGGAGATTTCCCTTCGCTAACTCAATATTTCTTCCAAATATAAACTATTAGATTATTTTTCATTGGCCCCAAATTGTCTGATTCCTGAACAGAACAATATATATAAGTATGTCATCGTGATTGGTTTAACAAAGATAAAATTACAAATAATGTCTTCAGTGCTAGGGTCATTATCAAAATTCCTATTTCAATGAATCACTTTCAAGATTCCAAAGATTAAATAAAAATTAGTAATCATTATTTTATGAGACAACCTAAAAACTCACAAAGCAACTTACTGGAGTAATAACATATAAGTTAAAAGACTATTGGCCGGGCGCAGTGGCTCACGCCTATAATCCCAGCACTTTGGGAGGCCGAGGAGGGCAGATCATGAGGTCAGGAGATGGAGACCAAACTAGCTAACATGGTGAAACCCCGTCTCTACTAAAAATACAAAAAATAGCCAGGTGTGGTGGCACACACCAGTAGTCCCACCTACTCAGGAGGCTGAGGCAGGAGAATCGCTTGAACCTGGGAGGCAGAGGTTGCAGTGAGTCAAGATCGCACCACTGTACTCCAGTCTGGTTGACAAAGCGAGACTCTGTCTCAAAAAAAAAAAAAAAAAAACTAATTACATGTGACCCTAAACTTTACAGTAGCAGATGCAAAGCAGGTAAGCATGAAGCAAAAGCGATTTGTCTGTTGCTCTCTTAACACAGTGTTAGATTTTTACCCCCCTGAGTTATTTTTCCTGGCTCTGGCACAGCTGGTGAAGCTAAATCAAGAACATTATAAATTCTCAATTTAGTGTTTCCTAATAAAAATTCAGCGTTATAACCTGCATGACCACAGATAAACACTACTGAAAATGCAGCCAGCAAGCTGTTTGGCACATTTGATATATATTAATATGTGCACTCGACATAGTTTATTTGGCATTATCTGATGGAGGTTGGGTTATAGAGAATAAAGTGGTGGAAGGTTTTTACTGATGTGAATTGGGACACAGTTGGCATGTTGTACACTTCGTGATAACCACTGCTGGTTAAATATGGTTTCCTAGAAATGGTTACAGTACAAACTAGATTCAAAACATCTCAGTTTGCCATTCTATTCTGTGAACCACACAAAGCAATTATCATATCTTTTTCCTTTCTATGATTCCAACAGAGAATCTACTATGTATAAAGCTATAAATAACTTGTCATGTGTAATCTTTATCTAGTCAGCATTTGAAAATATGAAACAGTACAGTATTTCTTATTTGCCCTGTTGGCTCAAAATGCGGCATATGCACTTATAAAATGTACAGAAAGATACACAGAAGCCTTATTTTTCTACATTTGTTTATTTTTAGTCAGGTATTAAATACAAACTAGATATAGGTGATTTTGCAACAGAAGCCCTTTTCACCTCATATTCTGAATGCATTGATGAAAGTACAAAATATATCACAGAACACATAAAACTGGATTAATTTTCTAAGGTTCCCAGGACTGGTTTGGTTCCAGTCTGGCCCTAAAGATTCTATGCTCACTAAGTGAGACTCTTTAAATCAAGTTGAAAATAGCCTATGCAACTGAAATTATAGTAAATAGAATTGGTAGAAGGGATTTATAAGGAACCAAAAGACCCACCCAAATTACAGTTAAAATATTCACCAGTTGCTCATCAGCAAAGATTAGTTCATAATAATGCTGGACAGCATTATTCTGAGGCTACAGTGAGAAAAACATTGTTGTGTGGGTACTGGGAAAGAAGCTGAAGAATGAAGATATCAGGTTGAGCAGACACAAGACAAAGCCCAGGGTAATATGGGCCCCTGGTGTGTAGAAAATGGTGGCTTTTATAACAAATGCAAAATTGTGTTTGGATCAAAGTTTCAGAGCCAAACCTCTTTGTTCCTGAGACTAAGAATACCCGGTTCCAATCCAAGTATATCTAAAATAAATCCTTAGTTTTACAAGTAACATGACATAGATTTGGAATGAGAAATCTAGGTTTTAATTTCAGTTCCACCACCTAGTAGATAAGTGACCTTGAGGATATTACAACTTCTCTAACCTAAGTAATGGGAAGAATCATGAAAATAAGAGCAGTTACCTTTGCAGGACTATTATGAAGATTACATGAAAAAATGTATATGAAGCATTTTATAAACTATAAATCCCTTTAAAAACATTAGTAATCCACATAAAATCTGAAATAACTAGATTCCAATTAATTTGTGCTCAAACCCACAGAATAACAAAATCAATCAATTCACAGAAATGAAAACCTTTTAATATGCATCACTTGGATGCACTCTATGCACAAATTATAAAGTCTCACAATAAATATCTGTTAACTTGGGTTTCCACGACTATATTGAAAATAATTACAATAGAACTTAATTTTTTGACATAAATAAATTATATTTACATTCATTTCATTATATTTACATTCCTTTACATTCCTTTCAAGTCTTATTGAAATGCATGCTTGAACAAAGATCACATATGTGGGTTCCACCTTCATTTGCCCAAGGAAAAACACTCTTCCAACTATCTCATAAATGTATACACTGGTCACAAGATGACCAGTTCTATTCTTATTCATTATCTTATTAGGTCATTGCCACAACTGGCAGGGGTAGGCAGAATTAACACACCTGCATTTCTGGGCTTTGAAAAGCTAAGTGTGCCTCCATCAGGCATCTCAGATGTGAAGGGATGGCTGAGATTCTAACTCAGGTCTTCTGACTCCTAATTATGAATGAGTTTCTTCTATTCTAGCATGTTGACACAGTCACACAAAACAACTTTGCTAGAAAAATAATTCCAGTTTCTTCATGCTGCAAAAGATTCATACCTACTCTTATGTACTAATTTCTGTTATTAGGAAGTATTACAATTTGGAATTTGAGCAAACTGGACATAGGTATCTACAGACTAAACTTGTCAACCAAAACTGTCTTGGTATATTTGGTTTGCTATTCAGAATTAAGGCTGATACAAATTACTTATCATCATCTCTCCCAATACTTCAGTAAAACAAGCAACGGTAAAAAGGGCCAAAAGTTAAGAGATATCAAATAAAAGTGTTTTAAAAGAAATAGTACTGCACTACTATGTCTTTTTAATAGGTACCCAAATTGGTAATCATCTGTTTTAGGTATTGCATTGTTTTCTGGCTAGCAAAAAGGCAGAAACTCAACAAGGAGGGAATATAAAATCTTAGAATATCTGTGACAATGTTAAAACTTAAGAAATTAAACAAAGACTAAGATGATTCTCAATTCTGAATCAAATTTCAAAAGAAAAGAATTAGTCTTTTATGAAGTTTTCATAATACGTAGCAGATATGGGAGAACAACGGCCAAAGACAAAATAATTCTCAAAATGAATATACCGTACTCAAAATTTTAGAAAAACAGAGTATGTCCAACAAACAAACATAAAAAATTGCTTTTACATGAGGCTATTATGAGCATCATATAAACTACTTAAGAAACTCTAAGTCTGTAGTAAACATAAATAATAAAACATAAACAATATTATAAATGTACATAACTCCAGGCCAAATTATCTTCAGAAGATTTCAAAACAGCCTATACCATGAAATAGCAGTCATAACATATTTGTAAAATCAGAATCAAATTTTCAATTTTCTCATGCCATAAACATGCTCCTAGAATCTCTGTTAAACTTAGTGAACTCGAGGTTCACTAAGATTTTAAAATATAACACGCATGTGAAACATCCAGATGCCCCTTCAAGGGGAATGTGCTGCTCAGCTAGAGAGTGCAGTTAGCAAACAGACTCCATCTGTTTATCACTTCAGAGCTGGCCTCAGGGGCAAAGTGCTGCTCCATCCTAGGTCATAACTTTCCACCGTTGACCCTCATTCAGTGACTAAGTCAAGTGGTAACATGAAGGCCCAGCCATCTCAGCCTAATGCAGGACAACCCTGATAGGCAATATTTGCTTCAGAGCTTGCTGCCAGGTTGGTTGAGGTTTTGCCAGACCTCCATGTGAATTCAACTTTTCCCTCTGACCAATCCTGCTCTCCTCCTTCCTTTCACAAGTGCTGATGTCTAAAAATACTTTATACCCCAAATTCTGTCTCAGCATCTGCTCCCAAAAAACCTAAGCTGTAACAATGTCCTTTTCTAATGGTTTTCTGAATATTAAGCAAAAAAATATTGTGATGTTAAGAGACCAGATGTATCCAGAATGTATAAAGAACTCTTGCAACTCAATAATAAAAAAAAAAAATTTAAAAGTGGGAAAATGATAGAAGTACACATATACAAATGGCCAAACAGCACATAAAAAGATGCTCAACATCATTAGTCATTATAAAAATGCAAATCAAAACCACATGAGATACCTAATTCACAATAACTAGCATGGCTATAACAGAAAAGGAATATAAATCAAGATTTGGGACAATGAGAAGAAACTGAATACCTGATATATTGCTAGTGTGACAACAACTGCTGTGCAATGCAGCCACTTTAGAAAACAGTTGAGCAGTTCCTCAAAATATCACACACAGAGTTACCATATGACCCAGCAATTCTACTTCTGGGTATACACCCAAGAGAAATGAAAATACAGGTCCCCACCAAAACTTATGCACAAATGTTCACAGAAGCGTTATCCGTAATTGCCAACAAGTTGAAACAACCTGTCAACTGATGAATGGATAAATAAAATACAGTATATCCATACAACAGGATGATATTCTTTAATAGAAAGGAATGAAGTACTGATACATGCTATGACATAAATGAAAATATTATGTGCTAATTACAATTACAAAATGAGGCCAATTACATGAAGCCAATTACAAAATGAAGCCAATTAAAAAAAAAAAAACCACATATTGTATGATTCCATTTACATGAAATGTCCAGAACAGGTAAATCCATAGAAACAGAAAGTAGATTAATAGTTTTCAGGAGTTGGGGGAAAAGAAAAATGGGGTGTGACTGTTAAAAGATATATGGTTTCTTTTTGAAGTGATGATTCCAATGGTTCAAGACATACACTTGCATTGGGGTAGTGTTTCTGTGTATTAAATGGTTCTCTCTCCACCTCTTTTCTACAGCTCTAATGCCAAAGGTCAAGGCAGTCTCAAAAAAAAGAAAAAAAAATCTTGACTGTCTCACTAACCACTCACCTTTCCCTTTACCTTCTATAAAACAGAAGCAAGAAGCAGACTTCAGGAAGACTTGTTTAAAGAACTTCTCTCTTGCAATGTCCCCATCGTCCCTCTCTCCAGAGCCAGGCTAGCAATTGTCTAGGCGTACTCTAGCTAGATATGAAGAACAAACATATTATTTTCTAGGTACAAAAGAAGAGCATTATATAAAGTTTTTGAAAATCACAGCGCTGTGGTCTAGCTTGTTCTAGTTCTCTGCATTGGCAGTTCTCTGTCAATGGTAATTTGCCTCCCTTGCCCATCAGTATCCCTGGCACACAAATTCCAATGAAAACCTGGTCAGAAGCAGTAATTCACTTTGGTCATGATTCAGTTAATACCCTAAGCACATACCACCTAAAAGCACCTCAATCCCACCCAATTTCTAACAAGGATTGAAATTTGGTAATAATTTTATTGTTATTATTTTGATCATTATCATAACTGATCCCAGACACTGTACCAAATTACTTCAAAGTTAGAAATGTACCACTTGCTACAGAAAAGAAAAATGAAGAGAAACTTGAACATATAATCAAGCAGTTGATTAAGCCTAGTAAGCCATATGAATGACACCAACAATAAAGTTTAATGGCACATTTAAGTTTTGTGCAGATCATAATTGTACTGCAAACAAGGCATTTAAGTACCACTCAAATCCAGTATCTACTGACAGTGCACTCCTTACTATTTATTCAAGGGGAAAATTTCAGTGAAGTCTCATTTTACCTAAATGTGTTAACAAGTGGGAATGTAATTTAAGTGCCTTCAGAATAGATTTTTTTTTTTTTTTTTTGCTTCTAGAATTTCCCAATTCTTTATGGAGTGATAATACTTTATAGCATTTCATGTTTGTATATTTAAATAATCCTCACATGCTGACACCAACAGGGGTATAAACTCAGAGAACTCTTGAGGCTCCATATTGCTGTGATACTACAAATATCTGATCTTAAAAAAAGAGAATTAGAAATCTGAAACTTCAAGTCACATTTTTAAACTACCACATAAGTTACAGTGGTTATTTACTTTATTAACAAAGGACTTGAAGCAGGAAAATTCTCCTGTTCCAAAACCAATCAAAGAGCTCCAAATCCTCCTTTTTTCTACAAAATATTTTTTCCCCACAAAAGACAACCATCGCTTAGCCATACTGTTAGTTACAGGAGATAAACTCTGTGACACTGAAGTTGCCAACACAAGGACACTTTGCTGAATGTTAAACACAGTATGCCAAATGGCCCTCATTACTATTTTCTGCATAAGCACAAAATGATGAAGTCCCTTCCTATGATCATGAGTCAAGAATTTTACAAGTAGACTTCTCCTTCCAATATTACAGCCAAGTCCCCCAAGGAATCTTCCTGTGTAGTAAAACCTAGGAAGCACAATACAAAACATTAGAATATCTATAAATTCCACTCATGAATATAAAGAAAGAAAACCATAATAACTTCAACATCTGCAGAAAAAGCATTTGATAAAATTCAAAATCTGTATTTAGAAAAAAAGTCATAGAAAACTAGGAATCAAAGGAAACGTCTGTAAGCTCACAAAAAGGTTAAAAAAACAAAAATAACCACTTACAACAAAATTACTCTTAATGATAAAATATTTATAAAAGTCTCCTCAAAATCAAGAACCACAAAAGAATGCCCATCGTTATCACTTTACTATTACCACTTCTAGTCAAAGTTTGTTTGACATTCTATCCAATGCAGTAGGACACCGAAAATAAATAAAAACATAGTAACAATTTTAAAAAGGAAATCAAAGTTATCATTATTTTCAAATGACATAACTATCTAAAACAACAACAACAACAAAAAAAAACAAAAAGAATCAAGAAACAAGGTCCTCTAAAATTAAAAAAAAAAAAAAAACCACGAATCTCTGTATCATTAGGAATAAAAAGAGAATTCAACGAGATGGTTTGCTCTAAGATTTATATTTTAAAAAAGTATATTTACAAATACTAGCAATAATCAGTTATAAAGCACAGTTTTTTAATACATCATTAATAATAGCAAAAATTGGCCAGGCGCGGTGGCTCATGCCTGTAATCCCAGCACTTTGGGAAGCCAAGACGGGTGGCTCCACCTGAGGTCAAGAGTTCAAGACTGGTCTGGTCAATATGGTGAAATCCTATCTCTACTAAGTATACAAAAATTAGCCAGGCATGGTGGCAGGCACCTGTGATCCCAGATACTTGGGAAGCTGATGCAGGAGACTCACTTAAACCCAGGAGGCAGAGGTTGCAGTGAGCCAAGATCACACCACTGTGCTCCAACCTGGGCAACAGGAGCAAAACCTCGTCTCAAAAAAAAAAAAAAGAAAATAGCAGAAATTAAAAACTTACATGATTAAAATAAATCTAACAAAAGATGTTATACCTATATTAAGAAAATGATAAAATGCTACTGAAATACATTAAAGATGACTGAAATATAAAAAATATATTGTATCTATGAATAGAAAGACTCACTAGTGTGACAATATCAATTTTCCTCTACTTTATATGTAGATTCAAGGCAATTCTACTCAAACCCCAAAATGTTTTTCACAGAACTTGAAAAACTAATTCAAAGTCATATGGAAAGAGAATCGCCAAGAACTGATAAGACACTCCTAAAGCATATGATAGGAAGAATTGCCTTGCCAGGTTTCACAGTAATTAAGAAAGCATGCCATTAATACTAGCATAAACAAATTGACAAATAGAACAGGATGGAACTCCAAAACAGAGCCACATAACAGATCCATATGACACAGATGACACCATGATATCACTAGGGAAAACAGGGACGTTTTTAACAATTGGAAAAACTGGTTAACTGCACAGTTACGAAAAGAAAAAGAAAAAGAAATTGGATACCTCTCTCACTCTATACATGATTAATTTCAAATGGTTTAAGGGTATAAATGTGAAACTCAAACTTTAAACCTCTTAGGGAAAAATACAGTAGACTACTACTTTGATGTTTGGGCAAAGAAAACAACCACAATGAAATATTTACACTCATTAGAAAAAATTTAAAAGTCTGACAATACCAAAAGTTAAAAAGAATGCAGAATAATACAGATTCTTATTCACGTTTCTGGTCAAAAGATAAACTACTCTTGAAAAAACTAGCATGGGATATCCAAGTTAAATATTATCATAATCTTCAATCCAGCAATCTCACACCTTGGTTCACTACCCGGTCTTATACATGTACATCAGTGGGCAGACATAAAAATGTTCACAAAATGTTTCCATCATCAAAACGGTCAATTTATTCATTATCTGGAACTACATAACAAATTACCTCAAAACACAGTGTCACAAAACAACAATAAATATTTGTAAAATCCCAGTTTCTGTAGATCAGAAATTTGGGAGCAGCTCAGCTGGGAAGTTCTCAATCAAGTTCATGAGATTGCAATCAAGATATTGGCAAGTTCTGCAATCATCTGAAGGTTTGACTGGGGACAGAGGATTCACTTTCAAGATGGCTCACTCACATAGATAAATGATTAGTACTGACTGTTGTTACAGACCTCCCATACTCAAACAGATCTGCACAGAAGCCCATGTTTGGGGGCTTTCTCAAGAAAGATAGATTCGGAAAAGCTGAAGAAGTCTCACCATCATTTCCTTGACATTCCACTGGCAGAAGAAGGCCCTACTCAATGTGAGAGAAGTTTATACAAAGGCATGAATATCAAGAAGCAAAGATCACTGGAGACCATCTTGTAATTTGGCTACAATAAATGGAAAAAAACTGTTCTCCAATTATAGGAGAGCAAATATACTGTTGTACATTAACAGGGCAAAGATAAGCATTACACAGTAGAAAAATGAAGCACAACTACACTCAAAAACATAGATGAATTTTCCAAAAATACTAGTGAGGAAACCAAATCTTAGAATATTACATACAGAACAATATCATTTATATTGAGCTAAACTAAAACAAATTATTAGTATCACATATTGTGATAAAACCATAAGAAAAATCAAGAGAAAAAATAAATGCAAAATTCAATAGCTATTACCACTGGGAAAGAACAGAGGGCATGAGATGGGAAGAAGTACATAAGTCAATGCAAGTTATTGATAGTGTTTTGAGTCTTGGATTTGGTGGTAAATTTACAGGTGCTAATTATATTATACTCTATAACTTGCATAAGCATTACAGATATGGAGGCCACTTTTATATCAGTATATCACATACATATACTCAACAATAACCTTGGTTGTACACAATCTTTTTTATCAACAATACATTCTTTAAATAAGTGACAAAAATATTAACAAAAAATACAGTCACACAACACATAACAACATTTTGGTTAATGACAGAATGCATACTAAGACAGTGGTCCCATAGGATTATAATGAAGCTGAAAAATTCCTACCACCTAGTAACATCATAGCTGGCATAACATCATGATACAACACATTACTCATGTGTTTGTGGTGATGCTGGTGTAAACAAACGTACTGCACTGCCAGTCATGACGAAGTTTAGCATATACAAATATGTATAGTACACAGATACTTGATAAAGATAATAAACGACTAGGTGACTGTGTGTTTTGTTTTTGTTTTTCTGACATGGAGTTTTGCTCCTGATGCCCAGGCTGGAGTGCAATGGCACGATCTTGGCTCACTGCAACCTCCGCCTCCTGGATTCAAACGATTCTCCTGCCTCAGACACCTGAGTAGCTGGGACTACAGGCGCCCACCACCACGCCTGGCTAATTTTTGTATTTTTAGTAGAGATGGGGTTTCACCATGGTGGCCAGGCTGGTCTCGAACTCCTGACCTCAGGTGATTCACAAGTCTCAGCCTCCCAAAGTGCTGGGATTATAGGAGTGAGCCACTGACCTCTTCTGGTGACTATGTTTTTACTACACAATACTTTTTATGTAAAGTGTACTACTTGGACTTATTTAAAAAATAAAAAAGTTAACTGTAAAACAGCCTCAGGCAGGTTCTTCACGAGGTAGTCCAGAAGAAGGCATTGTTATCATAGGAAATAGCAGCTCCATATGTGTTGCTGGCCTGAAGATCTTCCAGCGGGACAAGACGTAGAGGTGGAAGACATTGTTACTGATGATCCTGACCC